AATTTTTTCGGAATATAAACGCATATGGTGTCAAGAGTTTATTTAGGAATTAGAACGTTTAGGTTAACAGTAGTCTGCGTTCAAAGACAAGAAGAATAAATGAGGTTAAATATGATATCTACAAACAGGAATGGAATTATTCCAACAAGTCGAGTGTACTACATCGTGCCAACCCAACCGAAACATTTGATGGCTGTTCCATCTCAGTGTCTTATCCATTTTTCATTAGGTGTGTCATCGCCCGTGATTTATTCAGGTAATAACGGGAATGATGGGAATTTCAAGCGAGTTTGTTGGCAACACTGAATGCCAACCAGTGATACCAACCTCTCGAACTGAAGCTGCCGTACCAATGCACCTGTCATCCGTGTTTGAGGTTAATTAATTATGGATTATTAGAGATTAGATAGAATAGTGATGCGTCGATTGGCCCATCAGATGGTGTCCAAATTGATGAACGATAATGCCGAGGAAAGACATGGCCTGATCATCAGTAAACTGTGTTGTTCCTGTTACATCTCAATATGTACCTGACCAGTATGGTGACAAAGTTGTAAATAATAACCTTAATAACTTAATAATTATATATATACCTTATATATATATAGTATATATAGTATATATATATATACTAGTGGCTTGAAGGGACATAAGTCCCTAAAAAGCTCAAATGTAAAACAAACTATTGTAATAGGCCTACAGTAAAAACAAACTTAAATAAATCTAATACATATATCAGATATATATCCCAGTACAACATATCTTTTGTGTTAAAAATAGTTTGTCGTTTGTCTTTGTTTGCTTTTGTTGATGTTATTTTTAATAAATAATTTAAATTACTCCAAAGGTTTAACTCTGCTAAAGGCAGCAAACATGTTTGTGAATAAATATTAGTTTACTAAGGTAGCTTTGGTCTTTTGGTAATAAAAAGGCTTTCCGGATTAAAATATTGGAAATTGTCTTCGTCATATATGAAAAGGCAAATAAAGGTGTGTTGAGATAAGCTTAGTTCTTAGTTAAAACCGCTAAATTAGCACCCCGACCCAGTTATTATTTCTAAAGTGCATGCTCCTTTTGTAAACACTACAATAAATCTCAAATTAAAAATGTTAGTAAGTATACAAAAAAGTGTAGAATAAATCTTTAACAAATGTTTTGAAATCAAAACAAAGCAGAAGTTTTCAACAATCTTGAATCGATTATTATTTAGTCAATGTAGTTATTTCATGTTGAACATTCCTTCAACACAACAGTAACCGTTTTTTCGGTGTGTGTGATATTTCAGCCATAGTGCTTATTATTCATTGTTATCCCTGTTACAGGCCTATTTGTCTTAGCTTTATTTGAAAAAGTCGAATTTAAAAAGTTAGAAGAAAAAAACTTCATAATTTTTTTTCAGCCATCTATCTATGTAACTAAAAAGTATTTATTATTATAGGTAGGCCTAAAGTTATCCCTGTTTTTATATAGTATACAGTACATTGCAGAATTGACTGGCAAATGAGTAATCCAAATGTAATATTGCTTACTGGTTCAATGATTAATCACGATCAGCTGTATTGAAGTAAACAAAAATCAGCAGTAAATGGCTTCTAATGCATTTCTTATGGAGAACATTTTACGTTATATCCAATTTTGTGTTGAAATTTAGGGAATTTCACTATTTTTCCCGCCGTCACAGGATCGAGATCTTTAATTTGAGCCCTCTCCCGTTGTTCTACGACTTCCCAGTCGCCCACAATTTTGACGCAAAGAATCGGCTTACGTTATTAATATATAGATAGATAGATATACCTTATATGTATACCTTAATAACTAAATAATTACCTTGTAATCTATATAGCTAAGGTTTCCAGTTGGCTTAAATGTACATAGTAAGAGATAATAATGTCTATTAGATCAATTTAGCTATGACAAAGAAAAACAGTTTCAAATTAATATATAGATTTTGTCCAATGCAGATTTTTTCATGTTCTTTGTGGTTTAAAAACACGTAGTGAGTCAGCCTAACATAATTTACAAAAAAGCTGTCTTAAGTATGTTATTTTAAAAAAAAGAATCTGCAATTGTATAGATCTAATATCAGTATGAATTTGTGTGTATAAATGCCTACAAAACGAATGCTACTTTACTTTCTTACTCCAATGTTGGAAGATCTACAGTCCGAACGACCCACGAGTTTATTGTTCGCGTCAAATTAAGAAACCACAAAAGAAGCATTTGGCGCGAATGACTTAGGGATGGGTCTGTCCCCCTTGTCGATAGCATCTAGTAAAGTGTCCCATAACGCGAAACGTTGGGGCGAGGGTCCTACAATGGTGATGGTAGAATATTTACACATCTCACCCGTGAAATGCTCTTCACTCTAAACGTTATAGTTGCTTTCACGTTACTTTGTGGCTATAATGATAATATCCTAAGTATCCCAGAGCGTGAAATGTCTGGGTCAAGGTCTTGCAATAGTGATGTTAAAATTTTCTTAAAAGTTACTTGTGAAATAATCTTTACGATACAGACACAGCTGTGTTTCCTTACTTTGTAGCTATATCGGTATCATTGCATGTATCAGTACATATAATGTATACAATGTTTTAAAAACACATTTCTAACGTAGGCATAACATGTAACATTTTCTAACGAGTTATATATATATTATTTGACCTCTAACAATATTAAAAAGGTCAATTAGTAAAGTAACGATTTACTGATGTATTAACATTGTAGCATGTAATGGTAATCAATAAAATGTAAATGGTGGAACTTGATGTTAACTACTGTACTGTATTATGAGAGGCGATACTGTTAGATCACTAATGTAAAGTGATACATGATAAGCAAGGGTAGATGGGACTGTGACTGTTATATCAAACACACCCCAATCTACCTCACTCCTTCTCTCTGTCACACCCCCCCCCCCCCACCATCTCTATGCTGCGATGCTGCTACTGGTGAGTGGGGGTTCGTGTCAATGTAAACCTCTTGTTTGATCATGATCGATTAACGTTTGCGCGATTCACTAAGGGTTTTTCCAACTTTTTGAACATTTTGCCGGTTTATGTTCCTCATTAAATTTATCAAACTGTCTCTATTTTTGACGTTTGGCAAGTTTATGATACTTCTCAACTTTGTAGTTGTACGTGTAATTTTGAAAACTGTGCGTGAATAATTACAGCATATTGATGAAAAAGTCATTGAAATGCTTAACTGTTAAAAAGTAGTTGAAATAAGTCCATTATGGTAAAATATGAAATTGGTTTGGCCTAATGTAAGTATAACGTCTTGTAAATGCGAATGCATCTCTTGCTTGAGGCTACAGTAGACACCAGTAGTTGAGTGTACAACACGTTACAATACGCTTTGGAAACAATACGCATTTGATAATTAAATCGTTTTGCGAATCCGTTAATGATTATTAACCATCAATATGAATTTCTGCATATTCCGCTCAGGAACATACATTATGTTTTGCTGTGTCCAACAATGATCGCATTCAAGATCACGCGTCTGATGATCCGTCGTCTGTCGCGTGTCTTGATCATACCGCCGCCGTGAAGACTTATTAACGGTATGATAACACTTATATAACGGTATGACTTATAACTTATACAGCTTGACGGTATGGTTATACTTGATAACTTGATCACTCGCTAGTCTTGTGTCCCGACCTAGCCCAAGCTTGCGCCGCGTGCACGACCTTGGCCGAACATTCACCTCGCTGGACCTTGCAGGGGCGATGCACTATGTAAATGCAAACGCAAGGTTGCAATTATTGCAAAACTTTATGGGTTTACGCCTCGCTGGCATGGGTAACCGCTGAAGCTCCTGGAGAACTAGAGAACTAGCTTTACTTGTTAAAGGTAATATATCATATTTCGTGTATCACTGAAAATCACCATCAAATAATGTATGTAGAATATGTGGAGATGTTATGTGATAATACTCGTCCTCGTCTAACGCCCTGATTAGAGTAGTCGGTAAATAAACTATAGAATTGGTATAGTCCTGTAATTTAGTTATTATCATCGACATTTTGGCTGTTAACGATCACTGGTTTAAAGAGATGAAGTCCCTCGTCACGGGTCAGCTGTGATCGATAGGTTTCTTCGATTCCAAGTTGCGTTCGTTCGTTTCAACTCAGTTTCAATTGACTTCCTTTTTATCCACAAATGTTTTTCTTAGCCTTTCTTCATTTTTAAGACAAAGTAGGGCCTTAGTTTGATACTACAATAAATCTTACGAGCTAAATCGTCCAACAAAAATAAATCATCGCTATTTCGTTCGTTAATTGTCGACAATGATTTTACTCGACATTATCTTTTCTACGTGTTAAATCATTACTCCAGCAAATACAGTACGAGGATTATTGTTCTGGGATAACCAAGACTATAATCAATAGTACCGGTAACTGAAAAAGGGAGTTAAATGTAACAAACTCTGGTAATACGAATGTATAGAAATACTGTATATATTACCTCATTTCTCAAAAGTATAGAAATATAAACACTAGATCATAATTGGAATTAAATTAAACCAAATTTTATCGTGATACTCCGTACTTTTTCTTCATGCGTATTATAGTTTTGTAGTTTCGATAGGAAGTAGTCGGGTGTGCAGTGAAGGTGAGTAGCTCATACAATAATTATCAGTAGTCGACACGTAGCGCGCGTATCCGCCCTTTGTACGCGCTGGACGGCTTCCTGTAGCTCGTGTTACGCGAGATGTAAACCAAGTGAAGGGGATGTCGCCTATAATCCTCCTAGCTAGCACCGTACTCACTGTTCAGACCGATCGCTAGATGCTCTAGTATCTAGTATGTAACAAATAAACACAACTCATCAACAAAGAAAATAGCAGATTTAATAATGTGAATACTGTATTATGGTACAGAGTCAACATTTTCGGAAGAAGAATGAAGCAATCTCTTTGCTTCTTTACTGTACTTTATATACTGTCTGCTTATTATATTCAGATCGAATTAGACTAATAGTGCAGCTGTTTTTTGTAAACAAGAAATGTTTTATTTATGGTTGAAATTACCATTATACTCATACAAGACAAATCTTGACTTCTTAGTAAACATCTATTTTGTCATTCTTCGCTAGGCCCACTCAAGGCCTCAAAAATTGAAATTAAAGTATGTTTTTGATGCTCTAAACGTATTATCAGTACAATAACAACAGGAGGGAATACACAAGTAAACGATTGGTCCAGAGGTGATCGGCCGCGCAAGACTCCGGTGTCACGGGTATGTCGTCGACGTGTTCGTGCATCCAGGAGTTGAGAGGACAGAGGAAAGTGTAGGTGGACAGTCCCTTGACAGGACCTCCGACACACTTCTCTAGGGGGTATGTGGGGTCCTCGCACGCCAGGGTGTTCCAGACCATGTGTGAGATGGCCCTGACCACGGACCCGCACACCAGAGGTCCGCCGTCGTCGCCCTTGCACACCTGTGGGTACAGTAGCTCCTTGACACACACCAGTCGCTTGTTCTGGAACCTGCACAAGACGGAAGGAATTGACAAATCTGCATTCAATCAATTATGTTTATTGTTTGGAAAACCTCTTTTTTGATTTAACAAAAGTCATCGCAGAATTATAAGAACGGCAATGTTTGTAAAGAGTCACTAACGACTTTCTATACAGTAGTATACTTAAATACATATGCATTCAATTAATTGTGTCTATGGTTGGAAAACCTCTGTTTTGACTAAACAAAAGTCATCGCAGAATAATAAGAACGGCAATGTTTACTAAGAGTCACTTACGACTCTCTATACAGTAGGTAGTATACTTAAATACAGTATACTTAAAATTTACTAAGCGAGATTTACCTCCTGGCGCAAGGACACGCAGAGTCGCCATGTTCCGCAGTAACATTCCACACCTTGAGGTCCTTAGTGGGTGGCGCCGCGCTCCTGTAGCCTCCGAACCCCACGGACATACAATCCTCGGTCTTGTTTTCTGACTGTGGCCACCCGTCCGCCGCGATGGGGATGCTGCCCGCGAACTCGTTGAAGTCCAACGGGTCCCGCAGTCGCACCAGTGCCACGTCAAACTTGCCGACCCTGTTGAGCCAGAAGTGCGGGTTGACGACTATCTTGGAACTCATCGTCTCCTGCTTGGTCGTGCTCCTCGGAACGTCGTAGTTGATGATACCAGCGAGGATTTTGGCGTCTTTCTCGCCGATGATTTTGCCCTTGAAGAAGAAGCAGTGGGCGGCCGTCAAGATCCAGTTCTGGTTGATGATGGTGCCAGTGCACACTCCCGCTCTGCTCGTAATGGCCACTACGTACTTGATCTCTCCTTCTGTTCTGGGGAAGTCGTAGTTGTTGTCCTCGTATTGGGCTGCAACACGTTGACATGATGTGAGAATTACGCAGAGAAACAACGCACGGATCACGAACATTCTGTTGTTGTTTACCTCAAGTAAAAACAATGTTGAACAGCTGATTAGTATGAAATATGTTACTGTCCAATGTTTCATTTATTTTATGTCATAGAAATAGTTGTTTTGGTTTCGGATAAACTAAACCATAGATCAAATATACGCACTTACCTAATTTGTCATCAATATTGATCAGCGATATAAAATTTCAATGTTAGTTACGTCCGGTGCCTCTTGTGGCGTGTTTTCGTTTGCATTTTTCGTTATTTCCCAAAGTAAAGAAAATTCATAATATTAACCCAATAAAAATAACCAAAATTTCGTTTCCAATAGCGTTCAGTGTCAGCAACATAAGCCATTCTTAGACAAACTTTTGCAATGGGATGAGAAGTATAATTAATTACGTTTTTGTTTTAGTTAGTCTATGACTAAAACTTGTAATACAATTTATATTTGTACATCAATTTGATTCTTAGGAAACGCCTAGGCTTAAATCATGATACATTTTACTCAATACAACTATTTAATCGTTTTTTAAAACGCTATTTCACTGAGATTATTTGGTATATCTACTGATAACTTCATCTTGAGTGTTGTTGGCGAACTATATACAAAGACAAACTGTGTGATGTTTGTATAGGCCAGGTTGGAAATACACTCAATACACACATATTTATGGAAATGTTGGCGATTGTATTGTCCCTCCTCTATTGTTCCACTGATTGGTTTGTTTTTGTTTTAGGTGAGTTGGTTGCTGTTCTATCAATTTCAAGTGGAATATTTTTGGTCAGTATTTAGTATCTAGGATTATCTAGGATGCTGTTATTTGATTAATTAATTGCTAGGTTAATTTAAGAATTGAAATATTGATCAACTTATCACTATTTTTACTGTCTTAAAAGGTCTTTAGAATAGGTTGTATTCATTACGACATTGTATCAACTAGCATTTAAAACTGTCTTCTAAATTAACCAAGAACAAAATATATATATTTTTGACCATAAAAGTAAAACGTACATTTCAAAGTTAAGACTAAAAAACATAATTTTGAATACCTTTATTTAGGTAATGCAAGTTAAAAATCCATTGAGCCTTACAGACGGATGTAAAATCATATTGTTTAAAAATCCAGTGCTCGGAAATGAAGTTTTGTTAGAGTCAATAATGTAATACAAAGAACCAACCCGGTGTAAATCTGCGGTAGCGAAAGGTAATTTTGTCGCCCGGGGCTGCGAACCTGCGGCGCCGCGGCTCAAAAAGGGTCACTCACTTGTCGGGGTCGAAATTAATTCATCCCCGTCGAGGGGGAGGGTGAGGGGAGACGGATTTATAATGGGGAACGTGCCTAGCATCAGAGTTACGCGCGCGAGGAGGGTGAGATGCTTACAATATTAGACTACTGTACTTCGTTTGATGGCTTTGTGAGAACATTACCGATATTTTGGTTGTGCTGAAGATATATTTTAAATGTAAATAAAAAAAAAAGGATTGAAATAAATGAATATGAAATGAAAAGAAATATGGCCATTTGGACCTGCATTCAAATTGAGCTTATTGTTATTTGTAAATTTGATTGGTCAATTCGGTTAAGTTTTTTTGTTGTACCTTCTTGCCATGTAATTTCAACCAACACAATAGAAAAACTAGTGTCTATTGTTGGTTGTTAGTAATATATAATACAGTTGTTCGTTATACAGGGTTAGTAAAACGTGTGGAGACCCACTGTTATTTTTTTAACGGCCCATACTAGAAAAACTAAACTCGGCACACCATTATGGCATGTTATGAAGTACATTTTGGGCATAATCGCCACTTGGTGTTCATCCCCAAAATGGGGGATTTTGGGGGAAACTAAAAACTTTCAAATACAAAGACCCATCGAGTGACCCCTCATTTTGAAGGTACTGGTGAAAGAAAACCAACAACGCAAACTAGAGGTCTTTATCTCAGTTCAGTACAAAATGGCAGCCATTTAAAATTATCATAAGTTCCCAAACCCAAAAACGGGGATTTTGGGGGAAACTCAAAAATTTTAAAAAATAAGTCCCATCGAGTGACCCCTCATTTTGAAGGTCATAATAAAAAAAAACTAACAACGCAAACTATAGGTCTCTATCTTAACACAGTAAAATATGACAGCCAATTGAATATAAAATTGCGAGTTATTTCCGATTTCTAAGGAATTTAATCAGCTTCCATTTTTTACTGGATTGAGATAGAAACCTCTAGTTTGCGTTGTTAGTTTTCTTTTACCAGGACCTTCAAAATGAGGGGTCACTCAATGGGGCTTATCATTTAAAATTTTTGAGTTTCCCCCAAAATCCCCCATTTTGGGTTTGGTAAGCAAGTGGCTATTAGGCTTAAAAAGTACTTCATAACATGCCAAAAAGGTGTGTAGAGTTTAGTTTTCCTAGTGTGAGCCGCTACAAAATTTACAGTGGGTCTCCCGACTTGGAAAGCTGCAAGTTAAATTTAACTTCTGAGAATTTCAATTGGCTGCCATTTTTTACTGGATTGAGATAAAGACCTCTAGTTTGCGTTGTTGGTTTTCTTTTACCAGCACCTTTAAAATGAGTGGTCACTCGATGTGTCTTTGTATTTGAAATTTTTGAGTTTCCCCCAAAATTCCCCATTTCGGGGATGTACACCAAGTGACGGTTATGCCCAAAAAGTACTTCATAACATGTCATAAAGGTGTGCCAAGTTTAGTTTTTCTAGTATGGGCCGTTAAAAAAAAATAACAGGGGGTCTCCACACTTTTTAACAGATGATTTTAAATAACAAACTTTAGACATGTTGTTATTTAAAATCATATTCTTGTTAGTAGTCTGGTAGTAATGGTTAACATTGTTAATCACGCCAGTGGAAGTTTTTACCTGTTGAAAGGGAACGGTCCAAACCCTGTTCTTGTTATTATTGTTATTATTATCTATGCGTATGCATTGTTAAATATAGTTTTTGCAATTAATTTATAATATTAGACCTGTAACGTGAACTACTTGACATTAGTTTCAAGCCAATTGAGCGAACTAATACTCACTACTCGTGAAGCGCATACTGTATTATTCCCCAAGTAAAATTTAGTTACGTTGATGAATTGTTCGAGAAGATTCACATAACAAAGCAGGCGATTACAAACAGATTCAAAGTTGTCCAGGTTGTCACAGTAACATGGCTCACTGTCTCACTGTCATCCATCCAGCTCTAACAATACGGCTTCCCCCCCTCGCCGGCCCATTAGCGCGTGTATCTCACATTTGGTTGTAAATACAACTACTGTATACATATTGAATACAGTAACTAAGTTAACACAATATGATGTAACCAATTTACAAATGGGATTCATTATTCCACTATTGTGCTTTAAAGCACAGCGCAAGTTTTCCATCATTTACTAAAACCATCGCAAAATGCCGTGGATGTGGTACATATGAAAGATAAAGTATTAAATACTAGCTGTTACCCACGGGCTTCACCCCGTCTTCATAAGTATTACAGTAAGACAAACAAATAATCACACCTGATTTTAATAAGGTACTATATTGAAAGATTAAGAAACAAATAAAACAAAGAAACAAATAAAACAAATAATCACACCTGATTTTAATAAGGTACTAAATTGAAAGATTAAGAAACAAATAAGTACAGCTGAGGTAGTTTTAGCATTAGGTATATGGAAAGTTCCCTTTAGAAAGGAATAACGACCTTAAAAGGCAATTTATAACAAAATGGATGGGGTTGCGCAAGGTTTCTCGTCATGACGAACATTTTAAGTAGGCTTTATGGTTTAACGGAGTCGGGATTTTAGTTTTCTCAAAAGTTAATGGGTACTTTGGGATTTATATATGGATTTAAAAACGCTTTTCTCGCATCAGTCTAAAAAAATATTTAAAATTAATCAAAACCAAATTGTTGGTTCCCACTACTTAGCAGATTCAAAAGCCACAAACGTTTCTATAAAGGCCATAAAGGTTGAATTTTGTTTCTAAAAGGGTTGGTGGATGTGCAACCATTATCTAAAACAGATGTAAAATGTTATAAAGATCAAAATGTTTCTATTTCGTGTCCTCTTCCCGTTGCAAAGCACGGGTACAACAGCTAGTAGTTCGATAAAAATACTTCAAATTAACTAATGAGTAATATTACAATCGGTTAAAATAAATCATATTATGATCTCGATGAATCCAAATCAGTAGAGCGCACAGCGTGTGAGGACCAGGGCCGATCGTTATACATTATTCATCGGGCAATTCAATTATTTTAATCCGTCTAATGAGCAGTCAGCCGGAGCCTGTAATGATTGGCCTCGTAGCCTGCAATTATACTGATTATAGGCGGCGACTGTGAGTGTTTGGTGGCCGAGCTTCGCTTTGTGGATAGGATGGGTGCTGTTGGAAGTATACTCTGCTTTGGTTTGTAAATTATCCAGGTCAGCGTCCATGATTTGTCAATTGTATTAGGATAGGTTTTGGTTTAGATTGAACTGAAAGTTCGTACTGTACTTGGTAGCCAAACTTTGCTTAAAGGAAGATCGCTATTTGAAGTCTTAATTGTACATATTATTGACTCATTAAAACATACACTCATAAAACTGTTGAATTTATAATTTATAAATTTGCTATGTCAAAATCAACAGGTGCTGTAGCTAACGCACTTTGTAGTGACAAGTTATACGCTTGAAAGCTTAAAATAAATTCAATTTCAAAGTAATTACTGTCAGAAGCAATCGGTGAATGTAAACTCTGATATAAATATTGTCATAGGAAATTATATTTATTTCGTGAATTTCAAACAATAATTCAATGTGTTTATACATATTACTGTAATAGTTTGTAAAATAGGACTCAAATATGCTGGAAGCCTCTTTTTAATTTATTTATAAATTATTATAGTAATAAATCCTTTGCCAACAAATATTTTAACCAATTGAACACACTTAACTAAATGTCAGTCATAAAAACTGCAAACAAATCATGAACACTCAACGAGATTAAATGAAGCAATAAAGTGGAGGAGGTGATTACCAGCCGATATAGTTGCACT